CCCCCCCCCCCCCCCCCCACCGCGCTCTCTGTCAGCTCCAGCTACCTACCACCCCCATGCTCCTCCAGTGTAGCCGCTTGCACCCCCCATCCTCATGCAGGCTGATATACCCTGGGCCCTGCTCACCCCTAGGGACAGCTCTGGTGGCCACACAACAACAGCCCCTTCCCTGAGGTGCAAGTGCCAAGCAAAATGCCTTCACGTGCCACGCTTGGGCATGTGTTGGGGGTTGCCTACCCCTGTCCCATTGGTTCCAATGCCTCCATCTAGGTTTTTTTATTTTGCTGACAAAACCTTCTTTTCCATGTTCCTTACCTTTGCATCCTACATGTGGAAACTTAATCACAATACATACAAATGTTGGTATAATACCAAAAAAACCCAACCAAAGTACAGAGACAGTGTAAAATTAAGCAGAACAAAGTTAACATAAAGGCCTCTCTACTGTGGCCACATTTATTTTTAACTCACTCTGAGCCTTGTTTTTCTTTTGTCTTTTAATTCGAGAATAGTGAACTGGTGCAGTTCCCTGTACTAGCATGCTGACAAGTATGAGGCCATGTCTCTTGATTTTTGTTGGGATGCATAGGCCATTTCATTCTAGAACTTCGTTAAGGGTGAGAAGTGCCATTGTTTGTTTATAACCACAACTATCAGTTTTCCACATGTGATATTTATTTATATGATAGCAATGTCACAGCTGTATAAAAGTTGGTTGTTAATGAAAATCTTCTAGAGACAGATTTATCTGCTAGAAATGGCACATTATCTATAGTCAACTGTAAGTAATAAAGAGTATAACATTTAAATTGTCTTTTAACATGGTTTTTTTTTTTTGTTCTTAGGGAACAGATTGGTTGGCACATTCATTTGATGATTTCTTTGGGAACACAGATACCTCCTCAAGTACCCTTCCTGTGAAATTACCTGGGGAAGTCAAGCAGCCTCAGAAGAGGAACGATCATTTCTCTGTGCCAGAAAATAGCAAAAACATAGTTCTTGCTAGAAAGAAGGGAAAGGCATCTTCAGTACATCAGACTTGTAATCGAGCCAAACAAAATCAAAACCAATCTCAAAATGAACCATGGGTGGATAAATACAAACCAGAAACTCGGGTACAAAACTGTTAGAATTTCAGCTTATATGATAAAAACATCTCGGTGTAACTTTTAATATTCCTTGCTCTCTACTAACTAGTCCTACCCAGATGCAGTTTCTAAATGTTGTGGCTTATCCCATCAGAGCACAGTCTGCGGTATTAGCAGATTACGCCAGTTCTTTATTTGCTGAAGTACTATTACTGGTGTGTTTCAAAACTCTCAGTGTATGGACTATCTATCCCACAGAATTGGATCACTTAGTGAAATGAACAATTAGTATAAATTGCATATTCAAGGTATTTAACCTAAAAATACTTCATCTATGGACAAAAACAAATAAATGAGTTGAAAGTATACAAACTTGCAGAAAAGCTTAGCAAAAAATCATGTTAACTTTTTAATATTTCCATGCTTTTAGAATGATGCTTTCCTGAAATGATGATGTAGGCTTGTAAATAGCAAATAAACTTGTATCTCTGAGATTATCGCAAAGCTCATTTTCTTCTTGGACATTGGAAAGCTGACAATTAAAGGAAGAAGAGGAAATAAATACATGCTAGATTATCTTTAATTGCTGCAATTAGGATCTTTTTAATTTGTCAAGATTAATTGGATACAGATTTCCTGTTTAGCATTTCTGCAAGCATGAATGCTGTTTCTGAACTATATCAATAAAACCACCTAAAATCCACAGTTAGATATACATTTCATATACTTTATCCTTGTTCTAGAGTGATCTTGCTGTGCATAAGAAGAAGGTTGAAGAAGTTGAAACCTGGTTAAAATCTCAAATATTTGAAAGGCAACCAAAGCAGGTAATACTAATGCATAAGTTTTTTTTTAAATATCTGACCAATAACAAAGTTTTATAAGAATTCATCTTAAGTGATTGTACAGGCTACTCTAGAGATGTTTTTTATCCATGTTCTTGTAGTAAAGTCATTGAAATAGAATGGATGTTGTAGAGTACAAGAAGCTTCTCTGGTAGTATATGCTGGTATAAGAATTCTGAGAACATAGGCTAGAAGTTTACATTTAAAACTTATTGTTCCCATGTCCCTTCAGTCCTTGTACTTCTGAAAGGAATGGCTATATTATATTCCTCCTGCTTCATTGGTTAGGTAGTTCATTATTTTTTATCAGTTTTCACCATTTTGCAGCATCATTGAAAATTACAGGATTGCAAAGGTACATTTAAGGCCTGTATCCTCTTGAACTTCTGTGATTGAGTGAAATAACTAGCTTTGAATTTCACAAAACAAAATTTCTTTTCTAGAACTGGTTGTTGTAAAAAGGATTCTTCTTTTTTTTTCCCCGAACACTGTATTGTCAGTGTCTCCAGTTATAGCAAAATAATATTGCTGACACTAGGTTCTGTAATCTGTCACTGGTGTTTTTAAAAACACTTAAAACTGAATTGCTTCTTTCCAGGTGAACTTATGCATTTGCTAACTGTGGGCCATTTGGTTCAGAATTCTAAAATGGCAAGGTTGCACATGCTTATTCCTTCTTTTTTACCCTCTCCCTCTGAATTGTAGCAAAATTATATTTTCTGCTTTGCAAATCAGTTCTATAGCTGCCTAGTTATTAGTATGTAGTATATAATATCAAAGTCACATTGATGTGAAGTGATTGAGGTTTTTGTATTATTCAGTGAGTGAGGAGAAACGCATATATACAAATATTTTCCATTTTAATCAAGTTTTAATAGTGTATTTTTAATACTGAAAATAAGCATTTCACAGCTACTGTGAAGCTCTGCTTTCTAGACTGTCTCCAGGACGTGGTGCTTGGATCCCAGTGCTGGACCTGTGCTTCTGATTTGCTGAGCTTGAGCAGAGTCAAAATACTTGCCTCTGGCTTCAAGTATATAAGCACACTCTTGGGACATAGACAGGATTGGTGCCCCACTTCATAGTCATTTCACAAACCAGTTGCTTAGGTCTTGAGACTAGTGCCAGTTCAATGTCCCCAGTAGCTGAAACAGACCATTCCCATAGCTCTAGCCTTTTAGGTCCTCTGGCTTATAGTTTGTTTCATCAGAGATATGTGATAGTTGAAACAAATAAACACAGATTTATGCTTAGGGCCTTAAGTCATTCTTTGTTGTAGAAAGCTTGGAAGATACATGGGTCTAGGCAGAACATAAATGCCAGCATATAATTGATGTCTAAATTTCCTCCTCATTCTTGGCAGGCAGGGTTCTTTGGGTAAATGTGATTATCTTTTATTTGACCGACTAAATACTTGGAAAAATGTTCTTTGCAAGCTTTCGGGCATAAACACCCTTCTTCAGGCAGTAGGAGATTCTGTTGCTGAGTCTCCCACTGCCTGAAGAAGGGTGTTTGTGCCCAAAAGCTTGCAAAGAACTTTTTTCCAAGTATTTAGTTGGTCAAATAAAAGATATCACGTCTACTGAAAGAAACTTGCCTGCCTATGTCCTTAGACCAGCATGGTTACAACCAACAACCCTCATCATTCTTGAGCATTCTTTGGATTTGGATAAGTTCCCTTTTAGGACTCCAGTGCTCCCAGCCAGATTTTAGTTATAAATTAAGGAGACTTTTTCTGACTCTTACAGTTAACAGCCTTGCCTGGTCCTGCAGACAAAAAGGTTCTTTTTACCTCTAAAATCTGCTTGTGTTCTTTCCTCTCAACAGGGAGTTCCTTGAGTTTTCAAATACTAACACCTGGTTTCTTTGTTCTCCTGCTCCAGCCTCCTTGTCTGCTGGTGAATAAGGTTGAATTGTTCCTCCCTGGCATCAGCTTGTCACCTGTTCTAAGTTGCTCCAATTTGAATGGGAGCTACTTATAGAAATGATCTTCTGTTGTCCCTGCACTGGGGAGAGATGTGATAACCAGTTTTGTTGGTATCTAATATGACATTCAGTGAGAACAGGAATCTTGTAAAAAATTGATCTGCCTTTGTAAGTTGGACCTAAATAGATTTCCCTGAATGATAAAACAGAGTTGTTCTCAAACCATGGAACTGGTAACCCAGCACTTCATCTCAAGGCCCTTACTAGTTTTGGTTAATGGTGTTGCCTTTGTTTCAGGGTGGCTCTGTTTTACTGTTAACTGGTCCCCCAGGTTGTGGAAAGACTGCAACTGTACAAATATTAGTTCAAGATCTTGGTATTCAGGTGCATGAATGGATCAACCCAATATCTCTAGATTTTACAAAAGAAGATTTCAAGGAAAGTTTTAACCAGGGTGAGTTTTTGGGGGGGTTTTTGGCTATTGCTGTATTCCAACTACTGCTGTAGCTTGTCAACTTTAAAGCTCTGTACATATAAAAACATTAAATGAGATTGAATTTGAATTTGTCCTTCCGAAAAATTAGGTGCTAAAACATAGTTGGCTTAAAGATTGTCTCTAGCCTGATTTCGATATGCAAAGTCAAATTAAGTCCTCATAACGATATGTAAAATTATTTAATATATTTATATATTCTGCTTAAGGATTTTTGTTTGAATGTATTTTTTTTAAGGAATTATCCCCAGAACTGTGTGAAATTCATTGCATTAGAGAGGGGCCTCCTTAATGTCTTGGGCACCACTTAAACCTTTCAGGAAAAACTGAAATAGAATTAAAGAGCCCTTTGCCAAGTTTTCTGTTCTGGCATAAACTTTACTTTTCAACAATGACTTATAATATATTTGAGAGGTGTACTTGACCATTACTGTGTAGTAGCTACTGACAGAATGTACCAATGAGGATTCATTAATTCTAGTAGTGTTTGTATAATATGTGATGTAACATGAAATGTATATTTTTAACTTTTTTTTTTCCCCCCCCTCAGAATCAAGCTTTCGTATACTTCCTAGTCAAGCCCAGGCAACACTCTTTCAAGACTTTTTGTTAAGAGCAAATAAGTATAGCAGACTTCAGATGCTTGGGGAATCCACTGAGACTGATAAAAAACTTATTCTCATTGAAGTAAGTGAATTTTGGGGGTGGGAGGCAGGGTCTTTGTAAAAGGGTTGGTGTACTGCACTCCCTCCAGAACTGAAAGACCTGGCTGGAACTCTTAATGTAGCAGACCAAATTCTGTTTAATTACCTATGTGAGTATTTGGTCTCAGTTGACAGCATACCCGCATAAGTTGCCTACTACCAAAAGAAAATTAAAAGCAATATTGAAGAGGAGCATCCCTGAGTGTGCATAGCTTGAGAATTGACCAGAAAGGGAAGTTACCACCACCTTGGTATTTTGTATATAAACAAGTCCTGGAAGATTTTAATGCTTTAATTCTCTTTGTTTTTCCGCTTTACACATATCAAGACTGTAAATATAAAGCCTATCCTCTCTGTTTTGTTGGATGTCAGTCTTACAGGTCTCACATGGTCTTGGCAAGTTAATGAACCTTATTCTTACTTTAAGGGCCCAAGAACATAGTCAGTTATACAGATGTTTTTATTTGACACCTATTTACATTGGATTTAAAGAGCTCAAATAAAAATCATCTTCTGTGATTTGTATTGTCTGTCTCTTCTCCAAATTCGTTATTTTTCTGATCTCCAGAATCTTCCTGGAAATGAAATAGATGAGACCCAGATTTTTAATTTGGAAAAGAAGAAGAAATATTTTTGGGAATGTGGAAGTTTTTTTGTTTTGTTTTTTTTAACACAAAGTGCCATAAACTCATTTTTTCTGGGTCCCTTTAGTAACTTTTACTCTTTAATATTAAATCTATGTTATTGATTTCTATGTTAAGTTTCTAAGTCAAGTTTATTTGAAGAGTTCTTTATATAACTGCACAATTATCAGCTCAACTAACCACACATGTACCTTGTTATACCCAGACTCTGTATAATGTACTATAACCTTCACTTCCTCAGAGGACATAGAGACTTGAATTACATTGCTTCACTTATTTTCAATAGGATATACCTAACCAGTTCTACCGTGACTGTAGCAGTCTGCATGAAATTCTGAGGTGAGTTTTGAGTAAGCTTATTATGGGTACTAAACCTTAATAACTGTTAGTAAACTAATTTGTGACCCTTATTTTGTGTTTTAGGAGGTTTGTACGTACAAGTAGATGTCCCCTTGTGTTTATAGTCTCAGACAGTTTCAGTGGAGACAGCAACCACAGGTTACTATTCCCAAAGGAAATTCTAGAAGAACTATGTATAGGTAGTATAAGGTAAGATCTGTCGCTAAATAAATGTCGAACAGAGTAAGTATGGAACTGATAGTGTAACTAACAGTGCTTCTTGTGAAAACTTGATAGTTTCAACCCCGTGGCTCCAACAATGATGATGAAAGTTCTTAATCGAATAACTACAGCAGAAGCCAATATGGTAAGCTACAAAACCTGCTTAACTTCCACATGGTCAGCTCAAAACATTTCAGGCTGATTATTTAATAGTGTTTTGGTTTAATTACTTGACTACAAGAGAAGAAGAGCCTGGCTTTCAAAAGGGCTTTCCACAATAACATCCGTAGCCCAGCAGGAAGTTTTGCCCTAGTAGCCAAAGCGACTCTCTTGAAAAATCTTCTGTATGTTATGAAAACACTGTGCTAAAGCAGAAAACAAAAATTATAAGTAAAAGTCCTTGCGCATGGCAGTAATTTTTGAACCAGAAGTCTAATTCAAGCTGATTTGCATACTTTTTTGATAGTTCTTCATTTCAAGTGATGCAATTCTTTTAAATTTGTTTTTTCTTGTAGAATGGGGAGAGAATTTCTGTCCCTGGTAAAACCTCTTTAGAGTTGATTTGCAAAGGCTGTTCCGGTGATATTAGAAGTGCAATAAATAGCCTTCAGTTTTCTTCTTTGAAAGGTAAGTATAAGGCTTTTTTCAGTATTTGGCACAGTTTCTCCTCATTTCTGATACAGTGATATTCTTCACTTTTCTAGAATGATGATTTAACTGGATTTCAAGAAAAAACACATTGTCCTGTACTATCAGCAGAGATAAAAAGGACAAAGCCTTTGACAAGTGTGCTTAAGCACTTTTTCCTCGCATGCCTTAATATTATAAAATTATTGCTTATATTAGCCAGCTAAATTTTGAAGTTTATATATAGTCCTGTGCCCCTTCTATCCTCCCAGGGCACCTCCCCTGCCTCTTCTGGTAGAGGTACAGAGGGGCATAGGGCTTCAGTCTCCTGGGCCAGCAGGAGGACACTCCAAGAGAGTTGGGGGCTGAAGAGCATTTGCTGACAGTTTGCTTTGCTTCCCACCACCACTGTCATTACAGCCCCCTGTTGCACCCCACGGCTGGAGAGCATGCCAATGCACGTAGCTGCAGTATTTTTGCAGAGCTCTAGCAAGGGAATTAAAATAGGGGGGCTGTACATTAGGGCTGTGCGAAGCTTTGGGTGCTGATTCAAGTTGGAAGAGTTTTGGCCTGATTCGATGTCTGAATCTGAATCGAATCAGACCAATGAAAAGGTCCAGAGCAATTCATAGATGCCAGGGTCAGAAGGGACCTCAACAGATCAAGTCTGACCCCCTGCCTAGGCAGGAAACAGTGCTGGGGTCAGATGACCCCAGCCAGCTGCCTGTCCAGCCTTCTCTTGAAGACCCCCAAGGTAGGGGAGAGTACCACCTCCCTTGGAAGCCCATTCCAAATTTTGGCCACCCTTACTGTGAAAAAGTTTTTTTCTGATATCTAGCTTAAATCTGTTCTCTGTCAGTTTGTGACCATTGTTCCTTTTTACCCCAAGAGGCGCCCTGGTGAGCAGAGAATCTTCAATCCCTTGCTGCCTTCCCCTAACAAATTTGAAGGCAGCCACTAGATCATCTCTTAGCCTTCTCTTGTGGAGATTGAAGAGGTCCAGGTCCCTCATTCTCTCCTTATAAGGCTTGTCCTGTAAGCCCCTAACCATATGAGTAGCCCTCCTTTGGACCCTCTCAAGTCCATCAATATCTTTCTTGAAGTACGGCACCCAAAACCTGGATGCGATATTCCAACTGAGGTCTGACCAATGCCGCATAGAGGTGAAGTATCACCTTGGATCTATTTGTCATACATCTGCTGATAAAGTGTGATTAGCTTTGCTGCTGATTTTGTCACACTGACGACTCATGTTTACCTTGGAGTCCACTGTGACTCCAAGATCCCTTTCTGCTTCTGTGCTGCTGAGAGGGTCATTTCCCAGCCAGTAGGTGTTCTGGATATTTTTGCACCCTAGGTGTAGCACTCTGCACTTGTCCTTGTTGTACTGCTTCCTATTGTGTGCTGCCCACTTTTCTAACCTATCCAGGTCTGCCTGCAGTCGTTCCCTACCCTCCAGAGTGTGCACTTCACCTCACAATTTAGTATCATCCACAGACTTGGACAGAATGCACTTCTCACACACATCCAAGTTACTGATGATGATATTGAAGAGTACAGGTCCAAGGACCGAACCCTGAGGGACCCCAGTACCCACATCCTTCCAGGTTAATACTGACCTGTCTACTACCACTCTCTGGGTGCAGCCAATTTGCCACCCACCGGACCGTGTAAACATCTATGTCACAGCCTTTTAATTTATTTATGAGAATGGGATGAGATACTGTATTGAAGGCCTTGCTAAAGTCCAAGAAAACAACATCCACTCTACTCCTGTGTCTAAGCATTTTGGGACCGTGTCATAAAATGAAACCAGATTGGTCAGGCATGATCTACCACGAATCCATGCTGGTTTCCCTGCTGCATTATTTTTCCCACTGGACTCCCACAAATATGTTCCTTCATAATTTTTTGAAAGACCTTTCCAAGGATGGAGGCGAGACTGACTGGCCTATAATTACTCGGATCCTCTTTCCTCCCGTGTTTGAAAGTAGGACCGCACTGGCCCTTTTCCAGACCTCTGAGACCTGACCCGAGCGCCATGAGCGCTCAAACAGCCATGTCAGTGGTTCTGCTATGACACCGGCCAGTTCCTTCAGTACTCTTGAATGCAGCTCATCCAGGCCTGCTGACTTGAACACATCCGGTCCATCCAAGTGACTCTGCACCAAGTCAGTGTTGACAGTTGGTGAGCTGGTGTCCCTCCGATGCCCATCTAAGAATGCATTAGGAGACTTATCTTGAGCCCTGTTCAAGAACACTGAGGCAAACTCATTGAATAGCTCAGCCTTGTCCTCCCTGTCTGTCACTAAATTGCTCCTTGTTCAGTAGGGGTCCCGTGCTGCCCTGCACCTTCTTTTTACTCCCTACATACCTGAAAAAAAGCCTTTTTCTTGTCTTTAATTTGTATTGCCAGCCTCAGCTTTGTAGTTGCTTTGGCCTTTTTCACTGTCTCCCTGCAGGTGCGGGCCAAGTAGGTATACTCCTTGGTAGCTTCCCCTTTTTTTTCACTGCTTATATGCCTTCTTTTTTGCCTTTTAAGTTCCCCTGGATTTCCCTGTTTAGCCAAGGAAGCTTTTTTTGGCTCCTTTTTCCCCCCTTTTCCCTCGTACCGGGATAGTCTCCCTCTGTGCCCGAAGGATTACTTTCTTTAGGAATGACCACCCTTCCTGGACTCCCATCTTGACAATACTGCTATCCTGCAGTGCTTCATTGTCTAGACTCCTAAGCACACTGAAGTTAGCCTTCCTAAAGTCAAGCACTTCCACCCTACTAGTTATCTTACACACCATACGCCATACGTTGAATTCGATTGATTGGTGGTCACTATCCCCAAGGTGACCGCAAATCTGCAGCTCCCCTACCAGGTCCTCCCCTATAGCCAACACCAAGTTCAGTAAGGCATTCCCCCTAGTGGGACTGTACACCTTCTGTATCAGGTGAAGGTCCTGCACACAGGTTAAGAACCTACGTGAGAGTTGGATTTGGCTGACTGCTTCTCCCGGCAGATGTCAGGATAGTTTAGGTCCCCCCATGACAACCACGTCCCTAGACTGTATGGCCTCTGAAGAGCTGCCTCAAGTCTAGCTTTTCTTCTTGGTGCGGTGGTCTGTAGCAGACCCCCACCACCAAGTCTGTTTCCCCAAGACCTCCACGTATCCTAACCTACAATGCCTCAACTTTCTCCTCTGATTCCATTTAGATTAGGGTACATGTATAATGCTCCTTTACATAGAGAGCAACCCTGTCCCCCTTCCTCCCTACTCTGTCCCTTCTGTACAACCTGTAGCCCTCAATGTGTACCACCCAGTCATGGGTAGGGTCCCATCAGGTTTCTGTTAGCCCCACTAAATCAAAGTTATCTGTAAACAGAAGTGTGAGTTCTTCCTACTTGTTCCCTATGCTCCTAGCATTAGTATAGAGGCACTTAAGCCTTTTGAATGGTGCCTTTGGTGCCCCCTGTTCTGATGTCCAATGGGCCCCTTAGTACTTACTTGGGATATACTGTTGTGTGTCTCACAGTTTGTAGGTTCTAGACTCTCTCCATCTCCTGCCTCCCCATCCTCCGCTGAACTTAGTTTAAAGTCCGATGTAGGAGGTCAGCCAACCTGTAAGAAAAGAGACTTATCTTTTGCGGAGCGATTCGAAGCTCTCTGAATCAATGAAGCTCTCCAAATTGATTCAGGCAATTCCTGCTTGCTGCAGCAGAGAGCTGGACCCGGACTCTATGATGTTAAGTAGAGGGTGGGGAAGGGGGGGCTGGAGGAGGGTACCATGGGGGGGGACCTCTGCCAGGCACCATCCCCTGCCTGCTCCCCTGAGCACCCCCAACCCCCGCCTGCTCTCCCAACGCCTGCCTCCTCCCCC